TTTGGAGCTTGCAAATGTCTAAAAAGATTATCTTCTCACTTCTTTCCTCAGCCAGGCAAAGTCCTAAAAGCAGAGATTTCTAGCAGCAGCTCTGAAAATTGTGGAAATGCTACACTTCTGCTAACCTCCTTGAAAAAAAAGAGGCATTGTGTTGAGAGTATAACATACAGAGCTGACAACTCAGAATCAACTCACTTCTTTGGCATGAGAATAAAAAGTAAATCCCAGATAAGTACATTCTTTGAAACTGAGCCCCAAATGTTTAGTAGATTTCACAATCAAGAGGGGGAAAAAAAATCAGTGTTTTTATAGAAAGGAAGTCCTAGTTTTCTCCATAATAATGAAATGGTGGTCTCATGTTCTGATATGTTATATAGGCTTCTGTACAAAAAATTAATTTGCATTTTGCTTGATTTGTCCTAGACGCTACTTCAAAAAAGTCCTTACTAATTCCTAATTGATAAAGGAAGAGGATTCTGACTCAAATAATTACTATCTTTGCTTTCTCTGGAAGAAAAACAAAGCTAACATCTGTCATCTTTTGTCTTGGGAATATCTTACTAGCAGTTTATTAAAACACAAAATGACATTTCAGTACATGGTAGCTGTAAATGGGCCTGGACAGTCATTTGAAACTTCTCTGTGAGATGAATCTTTACTGTGTGGGACCGGATCACAGAACATGTTGACATTCTTTATGCATTAATTGTTTTTAATCAGCTACAACTTCCATGCAGTTCCTGAGTTTAACAGTAGATGGCTCTACATGCCTTGTCTTTGAAAGGGTTGGTGCTTTCCAGCAATAACAGTCCATGCTGATTTAGAAAAGTAAAAGTACAGCTAGAGAGCTGGGTGGAAAAAAAACGAAAAATTAGTGTTCAGGATCTTGGCATACTGGACTTAGGAAAGTGGCATTGTTCATTCTGTACAGTTGAAAACATATACTGGCTGATAAAGCCCATTAGTCTTATTTCTTTAGGTCTTAGGTGCCCGTCTATGATGAGATTTAATTATTTCATTTTCCCAGGGGAATAAAAGCGATCCTCTAGATAATCAAAATCATCATTATCTAATTAAGTGCTGTCAAAAAGAACTTTCTAGGATATTGAAAATTTTCCCGTCAGCGATGTTCAATACAGTAGCCATTAGCCCCATGTGTTACTCACTGGGCACTTAAAATGTGGCTACTGTAACTGAGAAACTAAATTTTGTATTTTGTTTAATTAAACTTAAGGTTAAAAATCTCCATGTGGCTCTTGGCTATCACACAGAACAGCAAAGAAATAAGTAGCTGAGTCATCATTTATACATGATAGACCTCAAGGCAAATTATAGAATATCATATGGGGTGAACATCCTTTACTAAAAGGATGTATTTTTATACTTAGTAAAGACATTTAGTAAAGAAATAGAATTTTCTTTTCTTTTTGCATTTTACTATAAAAACAGTTACTGGGATAATTTTATTTTTTGGCTTCAAGTTCTTGAAAAACTACACTCATGCCTCCCCCTTCCAATTTTTTAGGTAAACAGAAAGATACTGGTAGTCCATTCGGTAAAGTTTCTTTGTACTTTCCCAGTGTTAAACTAATTTTCATACCAGGGTTTCCTGATAAAATTTATATCAATTGAATGATTTTCCAGATACAGACATATCTTGAAAATTAATAGGAAATATAAAAACCTAAGAAAACATGACTAGTTAAAAATTTAGTAAATAGTAACACTGACTTAATAAGTCAAAAAAAATTCCTGACTTGACCTTCTTAATAATTAATATTTTAAAATACACTTGCAGGAGAAAAACAAAAGCAAAACACAGTTCAAGAAAATACTAACTCTACAGAATTTTCATCAATAAAAAGAAACTTCACTCTCTTCTCCTCATTTCCATGCACTCAGAAAGTAGCTGAACATCTAACTACAGATCACTTCGTTCTTCATTCTTCCCCCACTAATATAGGGTGCATATGAATGAAGTGATAGTACAGTGAAATAAATCAGTTATTATAGAGCTAAAACAGACTCATAAATCATCTCATTCAACACCCCATCTAATTTTACAGATATTGCAGCTATAGGGAGAGACTGAGTGACTTATTAGGGCATCACATCAGCTAGGACCCTAGTTTCTATTCCAAAGGCAGAAAGCTGCCTGCCACAGCACTAGGCTACGACATCCGTCATTTTAGGAGAATGGAGGGTTGCATAGATCTAATTTTTTGTCAATTTCTCTTAAGAACCAAAAAAGGACAACTATGGTTTTTGAAAAGTGAAAGGGATGGGAAGGCAACACCTGAATTCAACCACTAACAACAAAATACCACAAATCTTAAGTAGTATTTTCAGCAGTACAACTGGTCTCTAAAATCTCACAAAATGTTAGGATGGCCTTTCCGTTTATTACTTGTGGCATCAGAATCAAGATTCTCAATCTCTGCTTCAGGGATTCCAGATTCTTCTCCCACATAAGGGAGAATACATTCCTTTCCCCATCTCCTGTCCAAGGTGATCATCTCTTTGGGGTCATCGAAATGCTCCACCAAAGTCCAATTCTTCCAAGTCACCTTCGGAGATTGATACAGTTGATCTTATCACTTCCTGTGCTATATTAGGTACTTTGCATAGCATAGACTGTCACCTAGCTTCTCCTCTTCAATATTCTGACCACTTCTCTTTTTCCTAAACAGGTGTTACTCAATTGATTTTTTTTGCCTACTGTAGTTTAATAGCTAGTAGTTAATTTTAGATTGTAAGAATGTGATGTTAGTATACACAATATACTAATATTATATATATTATATACTAAGAAATATGTATTGTTACGATAAATGATAAATACTTAAAAACATGTACCTAAGAATAAATTAAATTAGATGCTAAGTGAGAGGTGGAAAAGATGATAAATGTAAATGCTTTCTGGTGATTTTCTATTCCAAAGACAGTATGATCCCCAGGTATCAGGTGTGGTAGTACCAAATTAACTGTCTAATGGAGCACATAAAATGGAGCAATACTGAAAATGCACATGGGAGAAATAAATCCTAAGAATTTAACACTCCGTTAGACAATCAAAAAGTCCAAGGCCAGTATGCTTAGCAGCCAGAAACGCTGCCACCTCTAGGAAAACAAAGGATTGACGGACATGTAGTGGAAGAATGCCAAGAAGAAATTTGCGAATCAGCAGCTGATCTTCTCATCCTTGTTAGAAAATCTGCTCCAAAGGCATAACATATCATTGCTTATGAACCCTGATTTCTGTCAAAAGTGCCCTGGGTCCTCATTGGCTCAACCACCGTCTCCCCTCCCCTCCCCTCCCTCAAATAAAATAACTATTAACGATAGGGTCTAACAAGCTGCCACCTTTTTTCTACGAATATCTCAACAGCCAAGAATTTTTATTTTTGTTATTTCTTTTAGAGCAAATTCTACATTTGCTCTAAACCTCATTTGACCTGTTATTTTCCTCCCAAATCTCCCATAACCGTATATACATACTCTGGTTAATTGTAACCTCCCTATTTCTTAGCATAGGCTTCAAACCACGGTACAACTATGTTTTAAATTAAGGCAGCCATCACATGCCAAGCTCCAGCTACTCTTTTCGAGAGGAAAGAATAATTATTCACCCCATCTGAGTCTGACTGTACCAGACATTATTCAAGAGAGCGAAACCTTAATCCCTGGACTCTTCCCCTTTTAAAAAGCACCCCGTTTAGAGACCCTCCCTCGACCACAAGAGATCATCCAGGGCTAAATATAGATCTATGCACACCAGCAGTTCCTGATCCTCCTCACATGGTGCTGTTGACGAAAGACTCCTAGGAGACTCTTTCGGCCCAAACACACGTACACAACTTTGAGTGTATAGTCATCTGTACACACTGTATCCACCGAATTAATCGAATTAATCAGTGATGACAGATACATCAACATTCACAAGAGAAGTCGCATCCTAGAGAGCTCCGCCTGCTATTTACCACAATTGTGCGACCCTCTGCACTGTCAGAGGACTTAGCTACTTGCTTTCGCCTGAATTCGCCAGTTCGGTTGGGGTAAGATGCGAAGCAATATTCGAGTGGTACACAGACACACAGACACACAGTTACACACACACATACACACAAGAGCATACATACCCCCTCCGCGTTTCGCCGCCTTCTCTAGTACAGTACTAAGTTTTTCCCACCGTTGCCCTAGAAAGAGGAGCCTCCCCGCAAGCTGGCTGCCCTTGAGGCTCCCAGGTACCCCCAGTTCACGTTATTATCTCTTGGCCAGGTCACCCGCGGCGACTCACCTAAGCACGGGCAAGAGCAAGGCAACTCGGTGTGTCCCAAGTTCGCCAGTTCAACGGGGGATGAAAGAATATCACCTCGTCGGTGTCGAGCACATGACTTCTGTTCCCTTGTCCCTTCCTAAGTCAGACCCTAGCTTATAAGACTCCAACATTAAATATAAACTGGCCCCCCTCCACACACACACACACACACACACACAAACACGAAAATTAGCCAAGAAGTAGAAGGAAACCTAGCTGTGCACAGGAAGGGAGAATGAAGAAAGGATAGACATGACCAGAACTCAGACAAATCTTCAAAAACTGTACCAAACTAGAAACAGAAATCCTGGCTGCAGGATCGGGGCAAGAGAAACAAGACAAAATCCAAACCTTTCCCCACCCGAGCTCCAGAGGCTGGGCCCCGCACCTGTTGGCACCGGGTCCGCTCCTGGGACCGCCCCAAGGGCCCTCGGTGGAGGGACAGGGGGCTCCTCGGTCTCTGGCTTTTGCCAGGCGCTGTGCGCCAGTAAGAGCTCGCTCGCCCTTGGCTCTCCAGCGTCCCCGCTTGCGCCCGGCAGCCGGGGCACAGTCTGCGAGCCAGGCTGTCTGGGGGCGCAGCTCCCGGGCCGCCCGGGAGAGACGCGCGCGCAGCACGATCGCGCGTTCCCGCTGCGGGTCTGTGTCCTGACTAGGAAAACAGCCTCACCAGCGAGCAACCCACCTGCAGATGAACCCCAGGTCTTCGCCTTTCCGGCTGTTTGTCTCGCGCCCACAAGTGCCACCAAAGGACAGGGAGCGAAAGCGCGCGGGAAGAAGAGGGGAAAAAATCCCGCACAACCAGTCGAGCTCCTTGTTTACACTGGAACTACAGCCGGGCCGCCGCGCACACCCCCTTAGCTCCAAGCGCCCGCCTCCCGCCGCAACCCCGCCCAGCTCCGCAGGCGCGGACCAATCGCGGCGCAGCTCACCGCCCACCCCGCCACCGCCTCCTGTGCCTGGGACCGGCCCACGCGTCCCAAGGGGCGCGGGACTCCCCCAGCGCGGTCGCCGGGCTTCCCTCCCACGCTGCGGAGGCCGGCGGAGCCCGGCGCAGCGGTGTTTACCAGCGCTGGTTCGGTTCGCTCTGGTCGCGTGCGTTTTCGCCGCCGTACACCTGCGTGTGTGTGTGTGTGTGTGTGTGTGTGTTCATCCACCTGTGTAGTACCTGTAAATACCGGCCCGACTCGTTATACAGTATCTATTAACATAATTATGAGCTAAGGTTTACTGTCCATGTAACTTTCAGAAGAGAGCTGGGAGCGATCACAAAAACATTTGCTCAGCAATTATTTACGGAGAGCCTGGGTACTAAGCATTGTGGAAAATGCGGGGGGCACACTTCAGGCAAAAATAGGCTGGTCCCAAAGGTTACCCAAACAAAATGTAAAATTGCGGCTGTTAGAAGTTCCACAAAGGAAGGGAACCTGTGCTGTGAAACATGATTCTGGAGGCAAAGACGGGAGGTCAGTCCTCAGTAAAGGCTGTGTTGTCACGGTAACCACATACTTTATCATTGGATACTTGATAACTATTTTAGAAAAAAGGTAAAAACCTCAATACTTCACCTTGTATAAATAAAAAGAAACTGGAGGGAAGAAACAATGGAAACAAATAAGGGAAGAAAGAGACTCAAGGAAAGAAAAAAACTTAAAACGTCAGGAGACTCTCTTGCCAGCTATGTGACCTTGAGTAAGTAAAGTAGCTTTTCTGAGCTTCGGTTTTTCCCATACATAAAACAACACTATTCATACCTGTCTTGTAGGACTGTAATTAGGATTACTGGGATACAGAAACCTTTTATCATTTATCTCCTCTCCCTCCCTTCTCCTTCCTGGGGGTGAAACAGTCATCTTGAAGTTCACCTTGCCTATTCTTAGCTGCTTCCTACCCTCGTTTTCTTTATCTGTGTCTCCTCTCACTTTTCTTCCTCTAATTATACTCCCTCTTCTCTCCTGCAAAGTGGGTCTCCCTGACTCAGTAATTCACTTCCAGCTCTCTGAGCCTCTCTGTAGTTTAAAGGAGAAGTCAATACAGCCAAGAGCAGTTGGCTGGGCCAGCCATGCAGAGTAACGCACAAAGGCTTGGGCAACCCTGCCCAGCTGCTGTGGTTGTGCTAGTTGATTAGTCTTTCCCGCTGTTTTCCATTCTGATTTTGCAACAAACAAGCCTTAGGAAGTTGGGGAAGTCATTTACAATCTTGAGACTCCTAGTCCTGTAGAAATAAATTGAAAGGGTTGGACCAAATCAAAATTTCTTAATGGAAAACAGTTGACATGTCTTTTGTAACCACTGGGTAGACCCACCGGCCCTGGAGATTTTGCCCAGTTTTACTTTCTGAAGTTTTTCCCCACCTAAACAAAAGATATTTATTTTAGTCTCTCAAAATATAAAATGGATACTATGATAATATTGTGCAGTGCTTTACCAAACCACACTCCTGCTCCCCATTCTGGTGAAACCCCCTATGGCCCCTTCCAACTCCCTGTGTGAGAGGTGACACATAAGGGGACAGCTCCAGACTAGGTGGCCCAAACCCTAATCTTGTCTCTATGGCTTAGCCAGCTATCAAACCTTAGAAAAGGCATCAAAAGACTGGGCTCTAGTTTACTCATCTGAAAATACCAATCGTGGTTTATATAAGTAACTTCTTCAACAGGGTGTTGAGAAGATTAAAAGAGATAATATATGAAATGGTTTGGAACAATGTCATTCAGAGAAGCTTTCCCTGACCTCCTTATTTAAAATTTCAGTCACCCCCACTCCGTATCTTCCTTTCTTCTTTTTTGTTGTTTCCTCCAGAGAACTTACCAACATTTAACGTTCTGTGTATTTTACTTATTATTGGCATTCACCCCTCAGTAGAATATAAGCTCCATAAGAGCTAGGTTTGTTGTTGTCATTGTAGCTGTTGTTTTCCTGCTATATTTCCAATGTCTAGAACAGTGTCTCACACATTATAAACACTCAATAAATATATGTTGGTTAAATTAATTAATTATTGTTCAGCACGTGATAAACACTCAACAAATAATAGCTGTTATGATTAGTATCAATTATTCTCTATCGCGAAAAGATATTATTTCTGTTCTCTACTTCTTATAGTTTCTTTCTAGCCTTTTGATTCTGTTGGCTCAACTCATATCTCTGTAAATGTTGGTAAGCTCAGAAATGCTAGTCAAATTGGTGCAAATAAAGCCCTGCTGTGTAAGACCTCACTCTAGTAACAAAAACAGCCACCTATATTGAGCTTTTGCTATATGGTGGACTTTGTGCTAAACATTGTTTTTCTTTTCCTTTCCCCTTGGACCTCACATGCACAAAATTCAAGCAAGCGTCATGACTAATCCATGTCCAAAACACTTTAATTTTAGTCTCTTTCCATTTCCCATCTAAAATCCCAGTTTTTACCATCCCAATGGCACTTACTCTTTCACACAATATATAGTGTGTTTTTCAATCCACCTTTATAAACAATGATGGTATTGTTTTGTGTGGGTACCACATGAGTGTATTTACCTAAATGTTACTGTGCAATCCATCTCATTCTGTCTCTTACTGGTTTTGCTCTAGTTTTTGATCATCTATCCATGTCGACATATGTTGATGTTATTCGCTCCTTTAACTCCCTGTTGAGTATTTCACCATATTTGCGTTATGTTTTTTATTTACATTATCTTTTATCCTCAGCAAAACCCTAAGATATAGGTGCTATTCTTTTCATTTCTGAGATGAAGGGATGAAGCTGAGGAAGGTAAGCAATTTGCCAAGGCCATTTAGCTGAAGAAGGCATGAATTAAACCTATATCTCTCTGATTCCAATGTTCCTGCCTTCTCACTCAATAAAATGTATTTAATTACTTACTATTGGATTTACAAAATAATGCCTGAAAAAAATCTTCTATCATTAATTGGATTCACTTTTCATGTCTAAGATATTGCTGTTAAAACTAGCAGATATTTAATTTAACTAGTTATTTTCATGCAAAACGTTTATTATTTGTGTCAGACACAAGTTTAGAAAACACTTGAACTTTAAATACTTGAATCTTAGCCCCTGTTTATAAGAAAAAATAAAGGCCTTGGTCATATTACCTACCAACAGTCAATCTAAACCACAGCCTAGACCTTCTCACTTTCAAAGCCAAGGACACCAAGCCCATTTTTGATAAGTATGATGCATATTGCCACTCCTGTATGTTGACAAAAGATAATGAGTATTTTATAAAGCAAAAAACATAAAGGATGAATTTTTGAGAAAATCATTTAACAGTTACTAAGCAAGGTATATTAATATGACTTTGCAGCCGGTTACCTGTCCGATAGCGTCTCTGATCTAATCGCAGCTTCTCTAAAACACCTAACTCATTTTTTAAAAAAAGTTAAGGAGTAAACAAAAACCTATAATACCTAGAGTATGGCACAGATATACCAAAGTATATATTTTATATAAAGGAAAAAAAAGTAATTGCTATTGCATAGAGATTAGAGTTAAAGGAAGGGGGGAAAAATATAGCTATTCTACTTCCACCCTACTCTGTTCAAGGAGGACAGACCCTTGAGAAAACCCCTTATCTTCCCCTTGCTTGTTTAGTGTGCTTCTCCTTGACTTCCCTTTTCTCATCATCTGAGAGCCTAGAGTGAAAGGGGGAAGGAGGCTGCTTGGTATGCTTTGGTTTCACGCGCTCTTCCTGCTTCTGACCTGAGTTACAGGAATTCTGCTCACAAGGGGAGACCATATCGGAATTTCATAGTAATAAAAAGCATGTATGTATTTGGCATTGACCACTGTTCATACATTTCCTTGAGATCTGTATGAAGAAAAGGATGATGAAGGCAAGACATGAAGATTTAGATATTTAAGATCCTGATTCCTTGCCAAATTGTGTCAATCCCTTCATAACTATAAAATGAACCCTGCCACTTAGAAGGAATTTTTGTGATGAAACACATGATTGGGTCAGCCTTGGAATGGTCATCTCAATAATAAGTTCCAAAATTTGCTATAGTTTACTATGTTCTTTCACATACATTATCTCATGTAGGGAGAACATTGGATCTGTGAGGGTCAGTCATTTCTAACAGTGGTCGTTACAGAGGCATACATCTTCCTTTCCTGGGATTACACAAAATATCGTACATAACCATTTGTTTAAATTTGCTAAGAAAATACTCTTAAATAGAACGGAATTGACTAGAAAAGATAACTTTAAGGAAGTCTCTTCCATATGTCCATATGATCCTTTATCACTGTCACTTTTTGTCTCCCAGACCTTAAAGTTGTATAAAAGAATGTAATAGCTGCATGGAAAATTCCACAACAGATATAGTAGGTTTTCAAAATCTTCTAAAAAGATGTAAAAAATTACTATATCTTCATTTATAATAGACAAGTACTATTGAAAGGCAAATTTATTATTTTCCCTTTATAAGCCTTATTATTTTGTTCATTTGTCAATTCTTATTTACTTTTACAAAATAATTTTTTGCAGTATCCTCAGGAGGAATACTGATTGAGAAATTAAATATAAGGTGGCCTGATCACAGGGTCAGGAGACAGTCTCATCACTTTCATTGATTATGTAATCCTAGTGACATTTTTCTGCGCTGACAAAGATATATTTCATAACCTTAAACGTACATCATTTTGTTGATATATCACTGTTTTGAGTAGAAATTCAACTGTTTAATATAAGTATATTTAGATAAATATTCTTTATTCTATAAGATTTTATGTGAATAGAAAAGATAAATATATTTCTCTATTTCTAATGTCTCTTTTTAGTGTTTTTGTCTGGTTCC